GGAAGACCCACACCAGCCATCGTATTCCGGCCGTGAAAGCCTTCGACAAAAACAAATGGATCATTGAATAGATCAACCCAGAGTTCTCACTAGAGGCCCAAGTGACCAAGCTCAACTTATCCTACTTCAGGAACATTATGTGAAGACCTAGCTTCTTAGAGAAGGCTCTAATGCTGGGAAAGGTGGAAAAAAAGAGGATGACCAGCAGCAAGGTGGATAGATAGGTTACAGTGGTGATGCGTGTATCATCGGAAGACCTGAAAGACCAGGTTAGGAGCAGATCATCCTGGAGAAAATCTATCTATGTGGTTGCTGAGAGCTGACAACAACTTGATGGCACATAATCAGTCAAGCTTTCTCCTCCACCCCCCAGCATTTCTGTTGGAGGGAATGGCTCAGTTTTCTGCCTGGGAAGTGAGCTGGTTTGAAGCCAAGTCTGTTGAAGGATGGGGGAGTTTTTATAGGCCTGAATAGAGAAGTCCATGATCAGATTTCTTTCTGCCATTAGCTTATGTCTGCAATGACCCTCCTTTATCAGGGCAGCCCTTAGTTCAGCAAGCACTGAGTCTGATGATCGTTTTTCCCTGCTGATGGGGTTTACTCTCAAGGAGGCTGGTGTTTTTCTTTCATCTCAGATTGCTGCATGCATAGCTGAGGATTTGTGGTTTCAGGCTCAATAGCACACGTTCCCTTTTCACACAGCTTTTCTAGAAGTTGCATATGTGCCAGAAATTGATTAGGGCAGCCTTTTGTGGTTTTCTCCCAATATAATCATGGCCACTATCAATGCTTTGCATATCTTTAAATTACTTTTGTTAATTTTTATGTTTCCTTGGTCAGTTTTTTCACAATGAAAATTATAACATCTGCATAATTCTAGAGAAATCAGTGTCAGAACCCTTCTCAGGACAGGGTTACAGATAGGAAACGGGCCATTGCTCCTGATTTTTGTGCAATTCATCATAGCTGCCCAGAATTGCCCGATCACCAACAGTGTTGCAAGCAGTTGTGATGCAGCTCAGCTATTTCTGCATTAGTCACGGTAGCAGGGAAACAGCTCTCTCAGGGGCATCCAAAATACTGCAAGTAGGATTTACACCTAATAGGGTCAGGGTAGACGTGGTCTCTTGGAGGTAAAGTGAAAGGTTCCTCCTTCCAGTGCTCTATTCAGTTTCTCCTCTCCTTCTCATCTTTGATGCATTCTTCTGCAGTGGGGGAACAGCGATTCCAACCAAATCTCCATGGAGAAGAAGAAATTATTTTTCTGTGTTCATGTGCTTACATATATATGTGTGCAGGTTCCATCCTGCTCTTCAGCACCACAGTTGGCTGTCCGACCTTGTGCATACTGAGTTATGCATGGAGATCTGTGCGTGTAATTGTGTGAACTGTTGAATCAGATCTAGGCTGAGTACAGTCATCTTTCCTATTGCTCTAGTTATGGGATGGATGACTCAAACAAGGATTTATTCCCATCTGGTGCTTCATGAACAGTTCAGACAATCCTTAACAACTGTCCTGGAAATGCCACCGAATACACAGATAGTCCTGGTTTTCTGACAGGCACACCTATAGGATAAATATTATTACAAGGGTGCTTGCTTTATTGCTATTTTAAATCATGTCCTAACAGCATGGAATTGTATGTGTGCATTTGGATTTGAAATAGCCAAGGATAGGGCAGAGCTAAAACTTCAAGTCTTTTCAATAAAGTTATAAAACACAGCAAAGCAAAAAGTGAAATTATCTCTCAGTTTGGTAACATTGTTAAAAGAAAAATAAACCCTCAATTTCTCTTATAGGACGAATGCTTTAAATAGCATGAAAATGTGATACTAAAATCTTGCTTCATCAGATCTTTTCTTCTGTCATGTGATTAAAGGAAGATTCATTAGAGTCACTTTTACTGATCACTTTTGATAAGTAAAGGGGCATTGTTCACTTGATCATTAATTTTGTATCTGAGGAGCATTGACCTACACGGGCTTTTACATAGCCAAGAGCTGGCTTGAAATATTGAATATAGAAAAGAGTGCCATAGAATGAATCCCTCTTTATTTTCATATTTTAATTTAATGTATATATTGAGATTTTCCATTTCCATATATTTACAGCCTTGCACAAAAATCCCTTATTCTCCAAATCAACTCTACCCACATCGTTATGACTCCCCTTATGCCAGGAACTCCTTTTCATAGCACCCGAAAGCACCTCCTCTAACTCTTTCTTGAAGCCTGTCTCAAAGCCTGCATCTTTATACTGTTTGTTATACCTGCATTCCCACCTGCAATAGTGTGCATGTCCCTGTGCCACAGGTGTTCATAACAAACCACAATGTCATCAAAATGACAACACGTACTTCATGTCACTGAGCAAATGAGATAATTATATGATTGTACTTTGGCATATGATGCAGATAGAAGTCATTTGTGTGATGAGAAGGATATACATTGTCATTCCCCACCCCCCACCCCACCTCAAAATTCACAGTGTAGATGTTCCAGTACGCTGAAGGCCATGAACACAGTTGGAGGATGGTAAGTCTGGCCATTCACACATTCCTAGACATATTTATAACATACACACACTATCACCACCATTATAAACTGGGACACCCTATAAAGAAATCATTGCAGATTAAAGAAAAAGTATAATTGTGAGTATAAGCTAATGTGTCATTATGTGCAGTCGTGCAATGAAGAGCACATACGATGAGGGAAGGAGTCTGCTCTTGCAATATGCTTCTTTGTCATTGCATACTAACTGAATATGAACAACATCCCCTCTGGGTCTGCATTGACTTGAGTGTTTCTTACTAAGTTCTTTGCAGCTCATCTTATGCCTATCATAGTGATCTCCTTGGGAGCAAAGATATATCTTTTGCTTATGAATGGTGATTAAGTGCTTATAGCAGTGTAAAATCATTCAGCTTCTGTATTATCTAAATATTGGTTAACTGGATTCCTTTTTTTTTAACCCGTAACTGAGGGAATCACTGCAATTTGGAATGAACAGGTTTCTTGCTTAGCCCTGTTCATTTTGGAATGCAAAGTTCTTTCTGCTCCTCTCTTGAGGAGATCTGCTGCTTAATTTCACTTTCTAAACAATAGCACCATCTAGGCAGGCATGACTAACAATTCATTTTGCACAATATCTAGCATGTCACACCCTTATTTAAAAGAAGGTCTTTGTCATCCCAGTGCAATCTTATCAATGTGATAAAGTTTCAGAAATGCTTTCTTCACCTTTTGAACAGCCTTTCCCAAGCTGGTACCCTCAAGATCTGTTGCCCTGCAATTCCCCAATGTCCCTTGCTCTCTGGAAATTGTAAGACTGCCTGGAACGCACTCCTGAAAAGCACCAAAATGGACAACCATATTCCAAAGAAATAAAAGAATTCTATTTGTCTATAATGCTTTGGACAGAAAAACTTTATAAACATGCCTGATGCTGAAGAAGCAGAATAAAGAGGCTTGAAGTGTATACATGTATATACATACAACATAGAATAAAATAAATACATACCCATCACAGGGTAAAAAAAAAATTATGCAAAGCATATAATAAAATAAAAGATACTTGCAGAAATATTTTGCGTACACTTCTTTTTTCTTCCATTCTTTATATGGATATTCCGTGTAACATCATATCCAGGAACTGGCCCAGCTGGTAGCCCCTTGGTTTCATCAGGTGTCTATATCAGACCTTAAATCTCTGACTTTTTAAAAAAAGTTGTTAACAGAGTGCCTGTAAACGCAGCCATGTTAGGACGTGACCACTGCTAAATATTTGTTTGCTGAAGCTTTTTAGGATGTTTTCTTTTATGTGGCCTTTTTGTCCTGATGTTTTTATGTTAAGTTAAACTTTAAACCGAGCATTTCTTTTTTTGCCTTTTTCTGCAGAAAGTGAGTGAAAAAGTTGGCGGAGCAGAAGGAACTAAGCTAGATGAAGATTTCAAAGAAATGGAAAGGGTGAGTGTGGAAGTAATTACTGTTATATCACTTTATTACTGCAGCATTACCTGAGTGGGTTTTTATTTTACCAATGAATATAAATAACAGTTGGATGGATCCTACTTGTGTTTCCCTAGCTTGCTTATATATAGCTAGGCAACATAATCAAAACACTTGGTGCTATTTACAGGTTTCAGTATTTCCTATAAAATCTTTGCTAAGTAAGATTGTCACTAAGTATGACCAACTAAGCTACTCTAAGTTAACAGTACTGTATACACAGACATCTGACCCACACATGTGTTATGTGAACCTGCAGTGGCCATTTTTGGTGAACATAACTGGAACTGGCTAGCTAGCTAAGATTTTAAATCCTAGTTAGTACTGTTCTAGAAATGACTGCCACTTTGAGTTCAGGCAACATACTTAACCTGAGTTTGACATAGGATTCTTTTATAAAACTCTTAGTATATTAGTTGATTCAGGTGACTTTTATCATACAGGTAGTCCTTGACTTACAACCACAATAGGGACCGAAAAATTCATCGTTAAGCGGTGTAATCGTTAAGCGAGGCATCATGTGACCATACCTGATTTTATGACTTTTTTGCGGCAGTCGTTAGGCAAATCATGCAGTCATTAAGTGAATCACACAGTTCCCCATTGATTTTGTTTGTCAGAAGCTGGCTGAGATGCTGCATCTGTCATAAATACATGCCAGTTGCCAAGCACCCAAATTTTGATCACATGATTGTGGGGACACTGCGACAGTCATAAATCACTTTTTTCAGCACCATCATAACTTTGAAAGGTTGCTAAATGAATGGTTGTTTATCAAGGTATACCTGTACAACCCCAAGTGTATTACACAGAAATCATATGTGTCAGTTGTATCCACTAGATTGTTACTGCTGTATTGAGAATTGCTTTCATCCTATCATATGTGACCATAACAGAGAGTAAAAAGATCTGAGAAGCAAATGCCATTCTGTTGGTCAGAGGGCTTCACGCTTGTAGGTTGCCAGTGTTAATATGACTGTGCCAAGATTAGAAATGCAAGATCTCCACCCAGGTGCCATTTTGAGCCATGTTAAATTGGTCAGGTATTTCTTTTCACTTGTTTATTTATTTGTTAGATTGATATCCCACCTTTACTTAGAGTCCAAGGCAGCTTACATGGGGATTTTCATAAGATTGGGGTGGCACAGTTTCTTGTGTTTGACTTGCTACATCTAGATTGGAGTGCAGTTTTATCAACTTTATATGAACCTATCAAGCTCCATGATGCTGGTTGCTGGAGTCCAAATCCACAAAATGAGAATAGAGAACTGAATGATGATCGAAAATTGCCTTCCCTAACCTGGAACCCCCTATTGTGTTGGGGCTTTATCTCTCAGAATTCCCAGGCTGTTGCATTTTGGAAGTTGTAGTCCCACTATATCAGGTGGGGCAAGGTTGATTTAAAAGTTCAAGAGATGACTGGGAAGGGAGCATCCAGACTTGCCAACAGTTGCCTGTACTTGTTCTCTGCTTGACATCTGCATACACCACTTTAAATAAAATGGTGGGTCGTCAAGAGATTCTTGTAGTGATAGGAAGAAATTATTGGGTATGTCATTGTTCTAATAAAGAGCTGTGCCAAGACTTCAGGGGGAGAGGCAGGCAATGATTCAAGGAATACTTCCTCCTATAAAGGAATTGCAAGGCCAGGTGCACAGCAAATGCTAAGATGGGGGTCCTCTTACCAGCCTCCTTGAATAATACACCTTATTCTAATAAAAGGTTTGCTTGTCCTTAGTGATCTTCAGGAAGCTGTCTGCTCTCCTACCTTGCAATGAAGATTTGGGAGACAACATTCCAAGTATGTTCAATGATCAGTAGGCTGGCCAGATGGAAAAAACAGGACACCTGCACTTTGAAAAGTTCTGTTCAAGAATGACGATCAGCAGGCACAGTGTTTAGATCTGGAAGTTATGCACAGAAATCTAGTGAATTCTTTAAAAGTCATCTACAAAATCTGTGTGTATAGAGGTGAACAAAAATATATATAAAAGCTATGATTGCAAAACCAATTTAAACCAGGCAGGGCACATTTTTAAAAATAGAGGAGTTGTTTTTTGCACGGGGAGCAAAGCTCTCAATTGACCATGAGTATCAGCCCTCTCCCAGCTGCTTTTTGCACTTTTAATAAATACTTATTACATGGAAATATGTATTTAAATAACATCTACTTGGCCACAGTTTTATAGCATTATGTTCTAAAGCTCTGCAGAAGTTATGTCTGGAACTTGCTCTTGGTATCTTTTTAATTTCCTCCAATGGAACTGGGGCCAAATACTTCATAGCTGTGGTTGAAATCTCTTAAACAAAAACGGTTCTTTCATTTTATACAGATGATTCTAGGGTATATCTCCAGATTACCTTTTGTTCTTACTCAGTCTTCATACAGTCAATAGCGCTGAGAAGTATAACCTTGAAGAGATCCATGTTCACAGCCTTCTTATCCAAGGGGCTCTTTAGGTGAAGTTACTCTTACCCTATTTTACAGAATGGCTGCAAGGATTAAATAGACATGATAATTTATGCCTCTTTGAATAAGGGTGAGAATATATATAATAAATTAATCAGTGGTGTGTGTGTGTAAAATTAATTAATGAGACACTGTCCCATTCCATTAAAGATAATTCTTGCCTGAATCTAGCCAAAAAGCTACAGCAGAATCCACAGTTTGAAGTTGCTGTTATTGAACTCTTTCTGCTCTGATTTTATTGTCATGGCCTTTCCATTTTATGCTGGTGTTTGGAGACCTCAATTAGGCCAGTCCTTGTCTACGCTAAGCATTGTAATGACATGTAATAAACTTTAATTATTCCCCAGGCTCCCAAAGAGCTTCTTGTCATCTGGCAACAAGCAGGTGGGTGAACAAATAAAAGGTGGGCGTGCAGTGGAAATTAATAATGTGAGTGAATATCTGTATGTGCACAACAGTGCAGCTGCACATGAAAAGAAGTGGATAGAGGTGTAGTTAATGGGGATAGTTAAGCAAGAGCATTAGGGCTGTTTTCAGATCTCTGTCCAAACCATCAGCAGCTCACTCAGCACCCCTCCCAACACAACTCAGTTCTGGACGTTTCCTGGGGAAAACAATCTGAAATATTAACAGAGTAGATGAACTTTTAATATATGAGTAGGCTTCAAAGGGTAGAAATGGAGCAAGATTTCAAGATGCTGGTGGTTAGGGTGGGACAAGGCTCAGTCAGCCTGCAGCGTGGCTACTGCAAAAAAAATACAGTCAGTCTGTATTCTTATTGCTTGCCCCAATAGAAGGTTTAGCCCTGTTCTGTTTTGCAAAATCTAATCGGAGCCTTAATGGATTGTGGGGGAAAGGGATTCTTCATTTTGTTTGCTAGTAATGCAGAGCAATGATGCCCCAGATGCCCTATTTCTATGAAAGGAAGGTATCTCTTAATTTAAGCCAAGACCTCACAAAAAACAAAGAGGCAGAATACACACACACACACACACACACACACACTGATAAAATCCTGTGCAGTGTCCAGTTCCCTGATTTTATCAGCCTGGTATTGCCAACTTCAGCTAAAACCAGTGGGTTTCAGCTGAAGTTGACAATGCCAAGCTGATAAGATGGGGGAGCTGGGCATTGCACAGGATTTTTATCAGTGTGTGTGTGTGTGTGTGTGTAAAAAATCCCCCCTCACCCCCATCATTGGTATGTGTCTTCCTCAATCTTGGGTCCTCTACCAGAGGGTTTGAGGGTTCTGCGAATTATCTTAGCTGTTCCTAGCACTGCACTCTTCTGGACAGAAGAGTGGATGAAACAAGAGAACCTGGAACTGATGGACTGCTACTACAACAGTAGGCCTAATGAGAGGGGATATATGAAACGTATTAGGGAACTATGAATGGACAGAAGTTACATCCACACTAACTGAGAAACAGCTAGTTACCTAATGCTTTAACATAGAAGAGGAAGCTGCTCTCACAACTTGAGATAGACCAACTACACATTACATCCCAGACTCAA